TTGCTTTTGGTGCTTTCACTTCCAGAGACAGTTGAAAGCACTGTGTATCTGCCTCGAGGGTGCTTGACCATTTTAACACAACGTGGTGCGATCATCCCCCTTGCGCGGAGCGGGGGTTCTCCACCCCGCACAACATGATCTACTCGACCACCATTCATGGTTACCGCCAACAAAAAAACCGGAGGTAAAAAACGGTAACCTGGTTGCCGAGTTCACGGAGTGAATTGGCTTCTTTTACAACGTCTTTGCCAAGCGACGAAAACCCAACCCCGATGGCAAACACCGGGGGGGGCGGCTTGTTTTACAACGTCGTTGCCAAGCGACGAAAACCCAACCCCGATGGCAAACACCGGGGGGGTGGGCTTGTTTTACAACGTCGTTGCCATGCGACGAAAACCCAACCCCGATGGCAAACACCGGGTGCGGGGGATGGGCGGCTTGTGTTACAACGTCGTTACCAAGCGACGAAAACCCAACCCCAACGGTAATCACCGGGGGGGAGAAAGGGGGGGGTGTCGCCCAATTTCACATCAAAGGCGGCGCGACAACGGATCCAGGGACGAAGGGATGGTCGACTTCTTCCGCCCGTATGTGACGTGCACAAGGCCTCATCTTGTCAATGAATAACGCTTCGGCCGGCTTATTGGCGAAAGCACCATGGCCTCAGGGAACCGAAACATGAACCAGCGTGTTTCACGGTCGATGTGGGGAGGGACCGGTTATGACTCTTGTGAGTGTGTGGCGAAACCTCCGACCGGACAATGGACGAGGGATAGACGCCAAGATCGACACTAAGAATTTCAGAAGGCTCGATGATCTATGACTCCTTAACAGCCAACAAAGAACTTTCCATACTATTCTTCTTCTACCCCCCCGTGTGGTTCTTTCGTGTGGTCCTGTATGCAACATGAAGGGGTGGAGAGGGGAAGGAGACATGAACTGTCTTACCTGCTCACTGAAGTCCTCGCCGTCCTTCTTGTTGACCATCTGGAGAACCGCCACGACGTTGCCCCCTTTCCGCGACTTCAATGTTTTCGCGTAACCGTCGGTTTATTCGGGACCCAACACGTAGCAGGACCGGCGCAAAACAACGCCCCAACCCGCGGCGGTGGCAGCAGCAGCGTCACCGTTGCCGGCAACGGTAGATCCCACCAGCCAGGAAGTATTGGAAGGCGGCATTGCACACCAGCATTGAGACCAACAACATCGGTACCAAGCCCATCCCGCCCGCAACACCGGAACCCAGGTGTTTTTCGACGACGGCGGCGGCGGCGGCGGAGGCGGCGATGGCGGCGACAAAAACCGGGTAGAGCAGCAGCGGGCACGAAGCGGGCGGGAACATTGTCAGGGGGGGTGAGTAGTATGGCGGAGGCCGTCTGAATGAGATCGGGGGGAAATCTGCCGGGGTCACGCTCGTGTAGAGCTTGTCTAGTAACGGACCGATCGACGACTGCCGGCGCGCCAACATCTCTCGGTTTCCAAACGCGGAACGTTTGTCCCACCGGTTCCGGAATGCAGATGTGCTACGTAGGACCTGCTTTTTCGCACTATCGAAGAATCCGAGGGCTCGGACAACGACAGCGAAATTCCCTCACAAGTGTAACGACCGGAATGCAGTCGGCGGAACCACGTAGAACAAACACCAGACACCAGAGAATGGTCAGCATCTATCAGGGTAACGAATCAAACCGCGCCCTCTACTTGTTGCCGTGATTTCGTTGAAGAAGAATCGTTTAGAGATGGAACACTCGCTGAACACCCTTCCCTCTCGGCGGGCGGGGCGGGAGCCTTGTCGTGAGCAAGGGCGGAATGTATTGCAGGGACGGCACCTAGTACTACTACAAAATTTTCGTTTCCAACGGGGATCACGCGCGCGTCTCGTCATCTTACTGCTGCCGTAAAAACATGTCAACATGAACAAGATGAAGCGACCGGTGACGAAGCTCTCAATGAAGAGGGGATCCTTCATGAACGCTTGTGTCTTCCGTCGACGATGGTCTGTACATGCACGTTCATGTTCATAAGAGGGTTGACCTTGATGGGCTCGCACAGGATGTTTCTCGTCACGAAGCCCGAGTCCTTGTCAACCTGGGTAGTGACGACAAGCGGGAGAGCTCATTGGTCCTACGCATTATTTTCAACATATTCCCCTACCAATGGGGTCGGAAACGCGACAAATGCCACCCGTGGCAACGCGTTCCCAAAAGAAACAATTTTTTCTGAGGTATCAACTCAACAAGAGCAGGCGCATCGGTTACTCATGACGAAGGCAATGGGAAGGGCATCGGTTACTCATGACGAAGGCAATGGGAAGGGATACGTTTTGGGACGAGCACTGTTTCTGTGTTCTCTCGTGTTGGTCCCGCTCGTTGACGATGACTTCTCAGGAAGTATAACACACGATTCTGCGGCAGTATCCATAGCGTATCCAAGAGCGCATGCGCCGTCGCCAATGTCCCCCTGGTCACAGCTTGTTCCCTTCTGAAACCGCGTTTCTTCAGCTTGTCGCAATTTCTTAAGCCAAATCGAAACCTTTCATTTCTACCTTGGCAAAACGTTGATCGGAGCTTTGATTCCTCCCCTGTCGTGGTGTTGCAAACAGATGTTGGCCTCTTTCTTGATGACCGAGAAAGTGAAAACTCGGTTCTTATCAACACCCGAGCCTAGTTCAGACATCTGCCTCTCGAAGAGCATTCCAACATCCCCAATGCCAACCCTTGCATACACTCGATATTTATGTCGCGAAGAGGTTGTGGCTTTATAATAGGCTAGAGTGGCACGCACTGCCACCACAACGAACGGAAGAATTCCGAAGGATGACACCTCGAGAACCAAGCCGCACGAGAAAGCATGACAATGCGACAACATTCACTTCGCCGTGGGTGTGCCACCTCGACTACCTCATCTGGGAAGACTGGAAAACGGTGTAGGCATAGCGTCACTCATCTAGAACGGCGAAAACGCCTAGTTTGCAGCACGACAGATATACGCCGTGACTGCTGCTTAGGAGACTCGCTCTTTCTGCCTGATACCACGCCGCGAGGTGTAAGAGGAGACCCGAAGCGATGCACTAACAGGATAAGTACCCAGGTCTGAAACATACACAATGACGTGTGATGCTATGCGCAGAATGGCGATGGAGACATCGCCCGATGTCGTCACTCGCACTGGCACCATACCTGGCGGTTGAAGTGCTCGTTGTTGTATGGGTCATTAACGACCAACCCCATGCCCGTTGCTGCGACGTGTCCGGCGATGCCTTTCCGAAGGGGAAAAGCGATCCGCATATTCCCGTCGAAGAAGAAGAGTTCCTATGAGCTCAGAAAGGGGTTTGGAAAGGCCATTGGTGTGCGTGGACGAAGGGGATTGCTGGTGATATTTTCGGTTGTTCGTACCCTTTTCCTGGAAAGAAGGAAAGCAGTTCCAAGTATTCGTTGGTAACTTGGACCTCCAATGGTGGCTGTTTTGAGGCGTTCTGCGAGTGTCGGAGAGCCGACGTTAGCGAGTGGTGTGGGCAGAGGCGTAAGACGGTATTGGACTGCGTTCTTGGAACCTGGTACTGTAGTCTGTTGCTGGACTTCTCATCTCAGAAGCTCATGTATATTTGTCTCCCAAGAGATGGGATTTGACTGGAAATCGCGTATATGTGTACCGTTCTGCTTTGTGGGAATGTGGTGAGGTTGTTGACACGCGTATGGGCGAGTGGAATGGGCAGGCTCGGGCAGGCCCGACTTCGATGTATCTGTCCATTCCGTTCTTGTGCACACCACCAGTTGAATTTTCGGTTGGATAATTGTTGTTGAGTTCTTCGTATCACAGAATCAGGCCGCCGTCTACATACTTAACATGTTTGACACACCAGCCTGGATCACACAGACAGGAGGAAGTCCGACACAGGAGACTTGTATTGCTGTTCTGTCGTCTCTCTATCTTCCCTTCGGCGGCTACGTTCTTCTCGGAAAGGTTCAGCTATTCCTTCCCTCTTGGTTGTGTGTACTCGAGACGATGCGCTTTTCGCTAAATATTGCGAGTTTGTTCACTCCGGGGAAATTCGACTTTACGACCTTAAGCCCAAAAGCAAGGCAAGACAACCACCTGAATCACTCAGCCCCCCAACTATTTCCGCTTACCTGGGCAGGCGTGTCGACGAACATGAGCGTGGCGCGGTCGCAGCCAATGGTGCTCACAAAGTCCGCGAGAATCTGCGTTAGATTGGCAATGAATTTTGTCGCCATGAGAGAAGTCTTCGTCCGCTTCATGGCAAAATGAGCAGCAGCAGAACGGGTACTACTGTACGCTAGTTTCATTGAGGGTCGCATTGCCATACCTTTTGAAGATGACAAGTGGATGTGCGTAACTCCCTGAAGCCCGAATCGAAAACACTCTGCACGTGGGGTACGAGATGGGCGCAATGTACCAAATCCATTCGCGCCAGATGCGAGAAGCGAGAACTGCCTCGTATACCCTCTTGAACTGAACCCTTCCGACGCCGGTATGGATGCTTAAGGGCTAGTGGAACGCTTTCTCGTACGAGAAACTCGGGCACGGGCGTGCTGTGTACCACCAAGCGAGTGGGGCACACGAAAATATTCGACCAAGTTTCGGGGTGGATTCAACAACGATTCAAACAGTTTGCATACACAGCATAATGGTCTTCCGTGATCACGAGGGGCGGGAACTTCCATCAGAAGGAGAGGAAGATCGTCTTCACTCACGTGCAACAAGGTTTCCGTTTATCTGGCATCCAGATGGCCTATAAACCCGAAGGCACTGACTATCTTCAATGGTTGTGTGTCCGCATTAGTTGCCGAGGCTACCGTGCAGCTTTCCTTTGTGTTATTGTTCATATTTCGCTTCGTGCCGTCGGTGTTCCGCCCCGCTCGTGTGAAAACGTTTCAAATACGCTCACGCAGGTTCACAAAGTGCCTGACCCGGCCGCATCGTTGGCTGGTGTAACTCCGTGTTACACGGTATCGTTCCGTTGGCCATGAAGCGATATTTTTTGCTGAAGTCCGTTTCTTTCAAGACAATCTATTCAATAATGCTACAACTGTGGGGCTCCATCTTACGACAAACACACAAGAACGCGCGTTCCACGACCTGCAACAGATGCTGTCGCCGTGTAGAGTTTGCTGCTGCCCCACCTGCTTCTTGAGGTCCTTCAGCTGGCCCTCGCGCGTGGTGGCCTTGAGGGCGCTGTTCCCGTACTCTAACGCGCGCTGCCTCTTCGCCTTGGCCTCGTCGATCCTGGCCTGCCGAGCCTTGTCGTGTACGTTGGGCGAGAGCGATTCCCTCCGTCCTGCTCCCTTGGAGGCTCCCTGCCAAAATCAGGATGGAATCAAGCAAGATATGTCAGGGGGGGTGAACAACGGCCACCAGCCCGCAATCTACAATATGGCGACATTTTAAGCTTTGTGCTAAAAAACGGAACGCTTTTCGTAGGTCCGCAGTATGTGATTCGATTCGCAGGCTTGAGCGCTTCGCGTGCCGCGTGGACCCCGCTGATTCGATACGTGGAAAATGTGGCCCCAAGACTTGGAAACATCGAATGCGTTGCACAACAAAGGAGGGTGGAAGCGTTGCGGACAACTCCTATCCCTACAAGGCCCCCAAGACGGCGACGAAACGATCTCGATACTACCACCCCCGTGTGCCCCTAGTACTCATTTCCCGATTGCATCGAACCAATTGAAGTGCGGGCCAGTGTCCACCAGCTTCTTCCCGTTCTAGTGAGATCTATAGACAGTTCTGTTGGCGTGACTTAGAAGCCTGTGAATTAATAAATCCCATCGTCTCCCTCGGTGTTCACCATCGGGGTTGGGTTTTCGTCGCTTGGCAACGACGTTGTAAAACAAGCCGTCCCCCTCGGTGTTTGCCATCGGGGTTGGGTTTTCATCGCCTGGCAACGACATTGTAAAAGAAGCCAATTCACTTCGTGAACTCGGCAACCAGGTTACCGAGTTTTTTTTTACCTCCGTTTTTGTTTTTGGCGGTAACCATGAATGGTGGTCGAATAGATCATGTTGTGCGGGGTGGAGAACCCCCGCTCCGCGCAAGGGGGATGATCGCACCACGTAGTGTTACAATAGTCAAGCACCGTCGAGGCAGATACACAGTGCTTATTTCTGTCTCTGGAAGTGAAAGCACCAGAAAAAAAATTAAGTCATACGCAGCTGTCATCCGTACGCAA